ACACACACACACACACACACACACACACACACACACACACACACACTCACAGACAAACTTTCGATAGAGACGTGGAATTCCCCTCCCCTGCCATGCAAATTCGATAGCTGGAAAGCTCGAGTTCGCAAAGTAAAAAACAACAACAAAAAAAAAAACCCTCTTTCCATGACCACCCTGGAAAGTCCGCCCCCGTGGCCATGGAAACCAGGCTTCACGCGCCTGTCACCTAGGGCAGAGCTACGGGAGGCTCCTCCCCCGTGGGCTACCAGGCCTGCGGTGCTCGGTGCTCCTTCCTCCCCGCGCCCCTACCCACGGGCCGGTCCCCGTCTCCCCGCGTCTGGAGCACGGCTGTGCGGCTGCGCGCGGGCGCGGTTTTCGGTGGTTCGGCGCGTCCCGCGACTCGGCGCACCCACCCCCGGGGCCACCCAGACGGCGCCCACGGCGAGGGCTAGGCGCAGAGAAGTTTCCTGGCCCCTGAGCCAGGGGACGCTTAGGTGACGACCGCCCCGGTGGTCGCCGAGGTCGGGGCACCATGGAGGAGCCTCCGTTGCGGGAGGAGGAGGACGAGGAGGACGAAGAGGGCGCCCTGGCCAAGAGCCCCCTGCAGCTGACCGCGGACGACGTGTACGACATCTCCTACGTGGTGGGCCGCGAGCTCATGGCCCTGGGCAGCGACCCCCGCGTCACGCGGCTGCAGTTCAAGATCGTGCGTGTGATGGAGATGCTGGAGGCGCTGGTGAACGAGGGCGGCCTGGCGCTCGAGGAGCTGAGGATGGAGAGGGACAACCTCAAGCAGGAGGTGGAGGGCCTGCGGAGAGCCAGTGTGGCAGGAGCCCCGGTGAGCAGAACCCTGGCCTCAGCCTGGGACCCTTCCCGCAGTCAGTGTCTGGCTCTGTAGTGTTTCCTGTCTGTTGCAAGCTGCTTCCTTTTCGGATTTACTTAACTTCTTTAAAAAAAACTTTTTTTTAATCTTTATTTTATGTGTGTTTGTTTTGCTTTGGGGTATGTCTGTGCACCACAGGTATGCAGGGCTCGGGGAGGCCAGAAGGAAGCGATGACTACCCCACCCCACCCCCATGGACTTATGGATGGTTGTCATATGGGAGCTGGGAATCGAACCCAAGTCCACTGCGAGAGCAGCCAGCGCAGTGAGCTTCTGAGTTAGTTATCTCTCCTGCTCCGATTTCCTTTCCTTTCCTTTCCTTTCCTTTCCTTTCCTTTCCTTTCCTT